TATGTATGTATGTATGTATGTATGTATGTATGTATGTATGTATGTATGTATGTATGTATGTATATATATATGTATGTATATAGATACCTGCAGTTCACTCCTGGACTCCTTTGCCTAAAAGCTGAGAGGCGTCCACTTCCTGATAGGTCAATCCCTTTTAGCAAATTCACTTGAACAAGTTCACTAAAGTTTGCTTTCCCTTTCAATCCAAAGAAATGGGGCTCCTGGGCTACATCAAAACTTCCTTTTGAGATGACTTTTCCTGGGTGATGCGCCGCTCCAATGCTCCAAGTGGCGACTGGTTTTGCTTCAGTTTGTAGCCGCTCACAAGGGCGAGAAGAGAAACCTGCTGATCGAGGGAGCACCCCACGATCGAATCTCCATCGATGGACCCCCACAGCAGCGCAGGGCGGAAAGAATTCTCCACTTGAAGCAATTCTGAAGCCTTGTATTCTCAAATAAGGCTCAGGTCTGTTCGTTGGCAAGCCCAACCCAACTGCAAGGTTCTTCTCAGCAAGTGCTCAGGTTCAGGTTTGCTGTGAGTGTCATCCCTGATCGCTCTGCTATATTCTGCTATCAGTCTTTTCCAGGGACTTCTCGCAAACGAAACAGATTCAGGCACGGGTCCAAGACCGTCCAAGACCATCCCTCCCAACGCTTACAGTCTGAAAAGGGGCTTACCTGTCAGGTTCGAAGGAGTTAGGCTTCTGCAGGAATCTGCGCACGACCCAAGCGAATCCTGCCTGAAGCACCTTGCGCATCATGGCTCTGCTTGGACTTCAGGTCGCTACGTTGGGTAAGGGGGATGAGTGGGATGACGGACAAAATGCCCGTCAAGTCCCGATGAGCTACGAATAGCTGCTGAGCCAAGTTGGCCGTCGGCCGAATCAGATCTGTTCGTCTGACAAGAAAGCCTGACCTGCCTTGGGGAGGTCCGAATGTGTCTATTGAAACAGGTCCCAAGTTGCCTGTGAAAGTACAACAAAGTCGGTCATCTCCAAAAGCTACAACTGAATACAGCCATCGTCCATCCTGATCAAATCCCAGACGCGTCGGTGCCTCGATGGTCTCCATGGGCAGTCGCTCAATATCCAACTGCCAGAGCGCAGGGATGCAGCTTTATCAAGCCAGGGTGACACTACACCAAAACGGCAGAAGACCTGTCCACGGCTTGGTCATGATCAAAGTCGGAGGCCTGGTGGGTTGCTTGAAGGTCAGGATAATTACAGTAAGCATTCAAGTACAGTATTCAAGCTCTTTTCCAAGTTCGGAACACTGGTTGGAACCGTGTCTGTTTGGCGCCGTTGCCAGCACCAAGTTTCACTTGCATGGCAGTGCCCACTGAAATGGCGAAGTTGGCACAACCTTTTCTGCTTAGATCGGGACACAACCAAGGGAATTTTGCAGTTCCAACTGTCGTGGCTGCCACGTTCTCAAAGGGACAGCAAAGTACAAACAAAGTAGAGACTACTTTGCAGTGATTGTTTAAATCTCGACTTGTGCTTCCCCTTTTCACAGCAACTTTTCTACTTCTTTCTCCTATCTTATCTCTACTCTTCCTTACTACTAACCACAACTACAACTACAACTACAACTATAACTTCAACTACTACTACTACTACTACTACTACTACTACTACTACTACTACTACTTCTACCCCTACTCCTACTCATACTTCTACTTCGGGAGAAGGGAGAAGAGATGAGCAAGAAAGAAAGTAAAAGGAAACACAAAAAGCAGAGAAGAAGCAAAGAAGGGAAAAAGCAGGAGAGGCAAAGTATACTCTTTTGAGTGGGACACCAGCACACATACTGTAAGCTTGGGCATGTCCCGCAGAGTCCTTGTGGAATCTTGCATTGACATTTGATGGCAATCAAAACAAACATTGATTATAAAACAAAGGAGCACACAGTCTGGATGGACAACTGCAGAGCTTGGCACGGTTTCACTTCACGTTCACTCCATTCTTCTTCACCAACTCGGCGGCTTAAGCAAAGCCGATATTGTTTGCTCTTGCTGGTGTCTGTAGTTGGCCAAGGTTTTCTGCAGGGGCCTTCTTGGATATCTCATCTATCAACAACTGTACCAAAACTGGGCCACAACTTCCCCTAAGCCGTTGGAGCCGGCCCGTGGGCCACGAAAAACACTGCCCCAATCCTCGTACGAAGCGGAGATTGCTGCAGCCACCTGACGGATGGAAGCTAACGGAGCACGTTCAAAGAAATTCTGCAGCGCCCTCGTGGAAAAACAGGTGGCCCCGCTGTGTCTGCCCTTTTCTGTGAGGTTACAGAATGGGTCGTAAAAACAGAAACAGGTGGAAGAAACCAGAAACATGCGGCTTCATATGCAAAACTCCCCTCACCTCGGCGACATTCCGCGCCCTCCGCAGCAGCTGTGCCATCTGTTCGTGCTTGGAACGTAGGCGAACTTGCCAGGAACGTGTCCATGCTGTGAGGCGCACAGGATCCATGTTGACGGTGTCCATAGTGGCTCCAAGACCATTCCAGCTGTTTGGTAAAGAACCCATGGATCAAAAAACTATGCTTGTTGGAACAGCAACTGAGGTAGATCGCCTCGCATGTCCCAACCATGACAACCTGTGTCACAAGCATTTTGAGGCAGTTTCACGTAGGATAAGTAGGACGCCCTAATCATCACCTGACCTATTTGTTGTCTGGACATTGTTTCCATGGCCCCAACAAAAGCACGTGACACACTTGGTCATCAAGTCAAGAGCCTTTCTATGGTGGTACTTTGGCACCCGCAAAGTACTCAACAAGCCACCAATCTTGCACAATATCTTGCTTTTGGACCAGGTTGGCCTCGGCTCTTCGGGCATCGTAGTCCCACCTGAACGCCAAAAAGTGCAAATAAAAACATCACTGACGCTGAGGCGCCCAAACAAGCCGATTCCTCCGACATGAAATCCCAGCTCCTTCAAAGCTTTCACCTTTGAGTAGGTTTGGGCCGCACTCTTGAAGGCCCCCTGAGCTTCCTTGCTCATTGGCACGGGTGCCGAAGAAGAGCTCAAAGTCCTCTTGTCAAGGATGGGAGAACTGCAACAAATGCTTCAGGTGGCTCTTCAATTGTTCGCATCCAAGATCATCCAAACACTTGAAAATGCCTGACGTATAGCGCGATTCGCTGGTCCTCATCAGCCCAGATTGGCTTCTTCTGCACCTCGGCCGGGATTCAACCCCCGCCCGACGGATCTGCAGAGCTCGTGGGACGGACCGGTCGTCGCCGCTTGGGGTCAAAGGTGCTAGTAGCTTCTTGTCACTAGTAGCAAGAATGCTACTAGTAGTAATGCCCTTTGTTACTAGTAGCGATGCCGCTTCTTGCTACTAGTAGTGTTGCCAGGAGCTACTAAGTAGCGTCCTTGCCCGGAAAGTTTCAAGCTTCAAAGCACCTTGCAACAAAAAACCTCCAGCGTCCCTTTCCAACGAACGCTGCCGGTCCAGGTCGTGGACATTTTCGAAGTAGAGCCGAACGTTCTTATCTTGGCCTTGGGATGTGGCTTTCGTGGCTCTAATGGTCGCATAGCTGCGGTGTGCCAAGTGAACCCCAATCTGCCCACAGTCCTGCCATGGTCCTCTAAATGCCATAGAAACTCTGCCACTGCCGTATAGAAGAAAGGACAGACTTCACTAACAAATCAAATGACGGGAAAATAGCCATAGGAGCCCTTCAAGATTCCATCTGGGATCCTGGCGGAGATCGTCCAGAGACACCTTGCTTAGCTGGATGTGCTCGTTAAAACTGCTTCCAGAGACTTAAAGTATGACCCACAAGAAGAAAGTTGTTTCTTGCATATGCTGTTTGACTCTCCGAGTCGCAATGGAGCCCGACAAGAAAGGAGAACCCTAAACTTAGCAATACTGAAAGCCTGTGGATCAAGCACCATTCCGGCGTGAATATCGAAAAGTGGGCCCAAGTCGTCTATGTTCATTCACTCTTGAGTTTATTCACCCACACGGACGGTGTGGCTCAGTCCACGAGTTCGACAAGATGTTCAGCTAAGATGTTTAAGTGGCGCACATATTTCTGCTGGCCGCCAAGCTTCGTCACGGCCGGAGTCAGCACCTGGAAGGGCACCCATGGTTGAAATTACTGATGACAAAAACTCCGGAATGACTACGGAATGACTATTTCTGTATCAAAAGCACTGCCAAGACTGCAGCTGCCAAAATCACGGGTTTTTCTGAAGGGCTCTATACAAATATATAATTGGATAGATATTCTATGGAATCAGTAGAGCCCAACCAGAACCATCTGAAACTCGACGTTCACCCCTGCAAGCTACTTGCTGGTTTTGATCTTGAAGCGCTGCCAACCTCCTCCACCGTGATGTACTGGAACATTTTGGCATAGTCCACTAACCTTGGAATAAAGGTACCCTATGGACTTTCAAGAGGGGAAACAACAAGGCAAACATCTAAAGCTTTACGATGCCTGTACTTGAAGGAATCGAAGCATCCCGGATAAACAACTTGCGATGCGGGTATGCGGGGGCCAAACCTCGGCCGTTCAGACTGAATCGTGTGACACCACACGCGGGAATCTTGAAAATGTAAGACCATGAGTTGCAGGAGAAGAGTAGCGATTCGGGAAACCGGGAAACGAGTCAGGAAACTTTGGCTGGAAACGCGCGGAAGGACAGGAGATCTAGAGATGTGAAAGTATGAAAGTATGAGTCAGGAAAATTGAGCGGGAAACGTGGGAATTCGGAATGTCTTGTAAATTTGCAGGTTTGGAAGTATGAAAGTCAGGAAACTAAACTTGAGCACAATGTGTGAGAGCGAGAGCGAGAGCGAGAGAGAGAGAGAGAGGGAGAGAGGGGGGGGCGAGCAGCCAGGAATGTCTAAAAAAGTTTAAAATACGAGTCAGGAAAACATTCTGCTTCCTCGAAGGATACAGAACATGCTTCTTTCTTACTGAAGGCCCGATAGCATCCAAAGCGTGCACTGCGCACCCTCTGCTTGGTCCACTCTCAAAGTTTTGGAAAGCTCGCTGATGAACATTTCTTGTAGGTTATCGGTATCTACTGTATGTAAGTCTTGTAAGTTTAGGTCCTTCCCTGACAACACTTCAAATACTGCAATGTGGTTTTCCTTTTTGTGCCGCCATCCAGCAAAAGAACATGTGTTTTTCGACGCATGTTGTTCAGGGCTCAAATAGCTGTTAGATAGCAGAATCTTTGTAGCCCCAGTGCACCCTGGTGCACGGTTTCCGGCTGCGCAATTGCTGCGTCGCCGACTTGGCATCGGAGAGCTAGAAGGCAACGCGCGGTTGCCAGGGCTTTCCTCCATAGGTCCTACCAGCGGCCTTCGCTGTCTGGACCTGCCAGGCTACAGTTCCTGTCCTATAAGGACTTGCTGGAAAGGCATCACTCACGGCCTTTCTACCGGCTCCATCCAATCTTGGAGAAGGAGAGAATGTCATGGAATGCATGGCAAGGGTACCAACGCTGGGAGAAGCCCAAGTACAAGAAGGAAAAGGACAAGCCAGCAGCGGACCCCAAGAAAGACAAGGTCAAGGCAACCTTCGTCGGCTACGACGGAAAGCCAACAGAGGTGCTCGAAGAATCCCATGGCTTTGTGCCCTCATCCTCATCGGCTACCTCAGCCGAAGCGGCCTTGAAAGAGGAGAACAAGCTCCTCAAGGAAGCGATGAGGAAGATCAAGGAGAGCAAGGAATCTCAGGTTGTGGACGAGCCGGAGATTGCCACGCTTCTCGAAAAGAACCCAAGAGAAGATATCAAGGAGAGACAGAAACTCCTGAACCAAGAGAGGAAGACAGTCAATCGTGTGGAAAAAATCAAAGCCTCCATTGCCGAAGAAGAGAAACGATTTGCTTCCTGGAAAAGGTACATGGAGACGGGCCTCAAGCAAGAGGAGCACCGACATGGATCGGCGCTGAAGGAGCTCTATGTGGAACTCAAAGAGGCCGAGAAATCCGGGAAGGAGACGGATGCATCAATGGAAGCTCCTGGTACCCCGCAAGCCGAGGAATTGCAGGAAGTCAAGAGTCAGCTGCACGATTTCATGACTTACGCAGCTGCGATGGAGAAACGACAGCTGCAAATGGCCGAACAGATGACGATGATGTTTGGAGCAATGCAAGCAGGTTTCTTGGGACATCATCCCAACTCTCCGCAGCACCCTTTCACCTCAGGAGATGGATCACGGAAGCCAGAGGGGGACCCAGAGAACAGTCTGGGACGGAGCGACAGATCGAGGTCGAGCAAGAGGGAGAGGGAAGAGATCGAAGAAGAGCAAGACGAAGAGTGGTTGCAGCAGGAGATTCCGCCAGAGGAAATCACAGCAGAAGTTGCTCGCCTCAACGAGCCAACTCAGACGATGGTCCTTCAGTACATGAAAGACCAGCCTTTATGCTGCAAGACAAGGAAAGATTTCGGACAGCTTGTGCAAAAGATGGAGCGAGGGGAAGATTTCCACCTCGGGAAGATCCTTTTGCCTATGAGCAATGCAAGGGCTCTCATGCCTTTTGGCAAGGCCCCACGAGAGAAACAGAAGGAAGGTGCATCGCCATACCATACGCCACCGATGCCAAAACAGCGGCAACGGTGGAAGTCACCAGCCAGGGAGGACCACCTCGAGGTCATGGACTCCTGAGTGCGCCTGAGAAGCAATCGACCTTTTGCGCCAACTTTAGAGGCTGCAAGGTCCCTTTTCAATCACGACATAAGTCAGGTTTGGTAGCCCTAGTCCTAGATGGGCTGCAAACCTTTTCAAGATTTGGTAGCGAGATTTTTGAATCGCACTTCCAAGTCTGCGTTTTTGATCTATGGGATCCTTCCTTTTGGGGTGGTTTTGAGCTGAGAAAGGACATGTTCAGACAGGATGCTCTGCTGGCAGCCGAATCTGAGAGTGTATCTTGGGTTTCGGCCTTTTCCAATGCAGCAATTGCTTTTGTCTTGAGGCAATGCCTTTTTCTCATTTGGTCTGGAGTGTTAGTGGGTCTTGCACTGAAGGGCCATGAAGTAATCCAGAAAGCCCGACGAAGCTGTACGAGATTGCCGAGTAAGGATTTGCTTTGGCACATGCTATATTACCAGGTCGCCGCCACTTTCCTCAATGGACTAGTGCTTGAGATGATTCCTTGGGGGGTAAGTGAATCGTCAAGTATATCTTTTGCGATATTCGCATTTCGCATACAAGGGGGCCTTAGTCTTGTGGTTGGTAGGCTGATCTTTTCTTTGAGTAGAAGCCTTCCATCGTATCCCCGAAGAGCCGCCAAGATAGGCCAGCAACGCACAAGCACGAAGCGACCACGTGCTTGCCGGGTAAAGTGGAAAGGAGTTTTGCTTTTGTGCAACGTTGTGTGTGCACAAGCGATTCCTATGCTCCCTTACGGAAGCGGTCCTTGACTGGTGGAATT